AAATTTAGCACCCATTTTAGCATTTGAAAACTAGGCATACTTAGGTATGAGTTATAGTGCATATGCAATATGTTGCAAGGCTGTAAGTGCTGGTTAACATTCTATGGATAGCCGGCAGAACGCCTAATGGGTGATCTGGCGTGACCCGTCCTACCCCAAATGCTTTGATACATCATCTTTGATCAAAGCAAGTGCAAATTCGGAGTCAGAAGCAAGCCAAATCCCAGCAAACTTCACTTGTAGAAATTCTAGCAGGACCCAATTTTCCGTGCTTTTGGGTTATTAACCTGATCTGGGAGGTCAACCAATGACCTAGGATCTCAACATTGACCAGGACATAAGAATAATTGGCTTTCTCTCGTCAGCGATGACCAGGACCCTCAAATCATCGGATTTTTCTCGTCACGAGCAGTTCGCTCTTTTTTTTTGCTTTTTCAGCGAAGCTCTGGCTCTTTTTATCAAGGGCCGAATGGCTGAGGGTTTCTACGCCCCTCGCTACATGTAAAACGCTGAAAAGAAATGCCTAAATGGGTGAGGGTAAAATATCGATTGGTTTTTAAGTGCCGAAGCCCGAAGCACTTTAATTTACTTCGATAGCAGTTTTTAAGACCAACGAGCTCGAATACCTACTATAACTTCTTGAACAATGTAAGCACCAGATAAAATGAATCGTGATAGAAGCGGCTCAAGATTAAGGAACTATGAGACACTTAATAAAAAACGGCATAGATTAGAAACTGCACCTAACTTGCACTGGTTTCTGTCTGTCACTGTTTCTGTCACTGGTTTTCTGGTTTCAGTCTGCACCTTTTCGTTGCAGACTGGTAGATTACATTTTAGGATTAATTTCAGCTGATGCTCAAATGATGTAGGGCTATTCATTCGTTCATTCATGCGACCATCCATTCATAAAAGAAACCAGTGATAAAATTGTTTATTTTAGATAAGCGGGAAATACAAACTCAATAAAAGTTTAATGATACGGAAAATTTGACAGCTTTTATAATGAATAGACAAATAACTTTAACAAATCAAAGTTGAGAGCCCCAAATACGTAACACAGTTGAGGGCATTTTAGGCCATCACAGTACTTGTCAACAATTGTTGTTGGGGGGACTGCGGAGGGTGGTTGGTGGCTCATAAACTGTCCCCCCCCCCAAAAAAAAACAACGTAACCGATCATCTGCGAGAAGAACTATTGAGCTCGAACCGAGGTGACGAATCGATTTATAGGTATGCAGGATGACTAACGGTGCCACTTTTTGACTTCTTGTGTCGAATAAATTCCATCATCTGGATAGCACGTCAACATTATATTTGACATTTTGCAACAAACGTATACTATTTGGCGCGACTAGCCTCAGAAATGTTCTGAAACTAAAACCGTTTTTTCGCAATTAACTTGGCCCACGTCATCCCAGCTTATGCACGGCAAAAATAAAATAATGCTTCAGGATCACTGGCCTGAATTCCAATGCTTAAAGTTTACTCAAAACCGGTGTGGCTGAGGCACTATTCGCTACATCTCGTGACGGCCACCATTGTGTTGCATTTTTTTCGGTAAGCTATAAGTTAACCCGCGCCCGGCTGGGGGTCCTGGATTTCCACGCCCTGCTGGGGGGGGGGGGGGGGGTGTTTGAACACCCCCCCTTCTAACTCGGCTCCTGGGCCACGTAGCGATACGCGGAAGGCGGCGTTCGAAAGAGCGTCAAAAATAATGACGAAATCACTTCGGTCAATTTCTTGCTCAGGTCAAAGGTCAGGTCACCAGAGGTCATTGAAGGCAAAATTTCGCCGATTTCCAGGTCGAATGTCGAAAATTTCCAAGAAGCCAACGCATAACTCGGGAACCAAAAGAGCTACAGCGCCGCGGAAAAGCGCAATCGATAGCCCTTTTAACGCCCTTTCTGAGTAATTCCCTCAGATTTGACCTAACGTCAACGGTTTTGCCTGCAGGGGGCAAAAACTGCAAAAATAGCCGATTTTTTCGGAAACAGTTTTTCTGCAATAACTTTTGACCCAAGCCTTGTACGAGCTTACTTTTACCGGCATCGTGTTCCTCTCGTCAAGACGCATCGAATGAACTATAACTTGACCTTGAAAGGTCAACTTGAAAATTTGACCTCAGGTCAAGGTCATGACCTGACCGGAAAGGGTCATGTTGCATATCAGTCGATCCGTATCGTCGAGCTGAACACATCTAAGGCGTTTTCATCGCTCTAGCATGCCTCTATCAAAAGTTATTTGCGAAAAACTGTTAGATACCATTCGTGACCTAAGATGACCTCAGGGCATAAACAGGGGTCACGGACACCATTTTCATGTTCAGTGTGTCTAAACTACTTGTAATTCAGTGTTTGGGAGTGTTTATAATGTCTTTCGTCCAAAAGAGGCGCATTTCAATTTTCTCCCATTGACTTATAATGGGGAGGTCTCAAAATTGACCTGACCTTAGGTCAACGATATCAAAATTCTGAGATATACATTTTGTACATGCCATTGCTCTTAGCAATCGCTGAAAGTTTCAAAGCATTCGGTCACTCGGTGTAGCTATGACAGACATTGAAACTTTTTATGAGGTGAGGTCACTTCAAGTGACCTGGTGACCTGACCTTGAATGACCTTGGTCTGAAATTTTCACAACATGTGTAGAATTGATGTATGATAAGGTGTACCAAAAACGGCGGCGCTCCGCGCCGCCGTTTTTGAGATATTCGCGAAAAACCACAAGGGGGGGTGTTCAAACACCCCCCCCCAGCAGGGCGCGGGTTAATAAGGAAAGGATTGGTGAGTGGGTTGAAAACAGCCCTCACCCTCCACCCCCCTCCCTTCTTCTGGAAACATAAGTAACCGAAAGATATGGCGATGGTTTATCCACCTCCTCTGCCGCCGCGCTGCGAGGCCTCGATTCGTTCGGTATGTGGATTCCTGAGCGGTCCTCCCCGGAGGCAAGGTGAAAGGTCATGACCTGTATCATAAATTTATACGTTGCTGAATATGTTTTATAGTTCTTCCAAGGCCTTGGACACCGTTTTATTATATCTGGTAAGCATTTCACTTTCTTGTCAATCAATACATTTAAAGAAAACTTTATCATAATCTCATACTGCGGCAATTGTAGTTCTGCTTACGGTTGCCTCTTTATGATACGGGCCACCACCACCTCCACTGCGCTGGAGCTCTGGCGTTCTACCCCTCCCCGCTACGGACCGGCTCTCGGGCTAGGTGTGTTAGTACTGAGCGCAAACGTGTAGTAGTCACGTGACTTTCATTCACGTAGCGGGAACGGAAGCTATAGGCGATACCAAGGACGGGCTCTGGGGAGGCAACCGGCACAGAAAAATAGCACGATTGTAGTTTTGGAAGAATATCTGTTGCGGTAGAGGAATTATACAAAACATACGTCCTAGGAGCAAACATGTGTTATTCCTCCATACTTTGCGCTACATTTCCTTTCTTCAATGGCCAGCACTTAGCAAATAATAGCACAATTCTAAATTGGTAATATATGTGTACAGTAGCAACTGCGGGTCCCTATACCTCACAATGATGGAGGAGCGTCTTCCACCGCCTCTCGCGCTGCTAGAAAAGGGCGGGCGCAGTGGGAACCAACCAAGAGTGACTGAGGACACTGACCCGGCTTTGCACGGTATCTGTTCACCCGTCACCGGAATTCGTCGAATGTTACGACTACGAATACAACATGAACTGCAATGACGCATTGAAGTGCCTGCAAGAGACCGGTTGTCTGAATCACGTTTTGATGCGATCCCCGACGCTGGCGATGGTGCGGCGCCGCATCTTTGGTCTCATCATCCCTCCAATAAGTGACGTGAGGCAGCACGGTTTAGTGAAGGTGGCGAGGGCCGTCAGATGCCCCCACGCGCCTGCGGCTCTAAGACTATTCAGCTGGCTGCCTCGTGCAGGAGGCCATGAGCGACCGTCAGCACGCTTTGAAATATGGAAAAGGGCAGACTGGCTGAAAAAGACAAGTCAACTGAACAATTGATACACTGTTAGCCCCGCAAGGTTGGCCTCCCTGTGTCACCAAGGCACACGGATCACAGGTGCCCTACGACGTGATTCTAAGAGCCGCATGCAGGCTGGTAAGGCCCAAACAGAGGCTGAGCATACTGGATATGCTGGCTGTATAATTATTTTTGGTTGTTTATCTAAACATGCTGGTTATTTAATATGTGTCGGAAAAATATAACTTCCAATACACAGGCCTGATTGCATGAAGTGGCGCAGTTAGTGCTATAGGTATATTCAGGAAATAAATTTTGCAAATATATATTAATGAAAACTGCGATATATACACGTACATTTTACTTGGGGTTGGACCGTTCATTTCAGAGGAGATGCGAAAAGGCCCCTGTGGACACCACCCACGAGGCACGTGATTCCGACTTGTGGGCACCTCACATATGAATAGCCAATAGTAGTGGATGAAGCGGGGCCAATGGGGCTACTCATAACAGAAAACCGCATGCCTCTGAGACATGCGGTTGCGTTCCGAGGCTGATCGATATCATTGACATTTCTGGGTCCCCTACTGCAGATAGGCAATGTTCGTGTCAAATCCAGTTCTACTGTTATCTATGATGCTATAAATTCTATTGGTAAGCATTGAAAACGCATCAATGTAAAAAATATGGTTTGAAATTTGTTCGATTTAACTTGTTATACCGCCAACGAAACTGCATGACCATTGCCATTGTAAAATGAAATTTGCCTTTTTCCAATACCCGATGTCACAGTCCTATGCCGTGTGCCGAAATCCATTGGCCAATGTCGAAAGCACGCTCATTGTCGACATTAAATGCCCCATGTCACGCTGCTGCACTATGCCGAGTTTGAGGCGTGGTTTGTCGAAAGCGCACTCCAGCTGACGTTCCTAATGCAGATCTGCCGAAACTAACTGACCAGATGCCGATTTTGATAAAAAAAGGTGTACTGTGGAACATTTTAACGCACATTCTTAGAACATATTTTCACATCCATGATCAAAAGTTATGACAATTTTTCGAAATGCTGTATCCAGCTGCGCAACATAATATTATCGTCACCCCACACACCGTCACCACATCACTTCCCCTCCCTCCTTCTGGCCCCTACCCTCCACCATGTCCCAGGTCAGCCGTCCGCGTGGGTGCCGAGTCAAATCGCGTGGCAGCGCTGTTGGCGGTCCCGCCCCGCCACCGCGAGGGTGGGGGAGCGCGTATCGTGCTACTGCCGGCCAGCGCGGTTCGCCACTCGCCGTGCGCCGGGGCAGTGCTCTTGGCACCATCATCGCCAGTGAAAACTCCCTCAGGGGCGTGTCTCTCTCGGGCCCTGTAGCAGAGAAGGTAGGCGGTGGCGTCTCGAACGCTGGCGGCAGAGCACTCTCTCACTTTAGAGTCATCCATGAAGAACCAGCTGTCGGCGGGATGATTGAAGCTGTACGCTGTGTAGTGGCCGCCATCTTGACTGCCGTGGTGCTCTACCACGCCATAGAGGTCGTAGACCAGCCTGTACGTGTTGGGGTGCGACCCAACTGCCAGCCGACTCAGGTCGAGGTCCCGCAGGGGGAAGGTCACCTGAGCGTGGTTCTTGCGCGCGGTGCCGCCTGCGAAACTGAACCTCTTCAGGTGGAGGATGACAATGGGTGGAAGCCACCAGAGGTCGAGCTTCTTGTGGACGTCGCACCGACACTGACACTTTGGACAGGTCCAGTCCGTGATCAGGTCGCCACGTAAGTACTCGTCCAGACACTGAGTCAGATTGCTTTTGCCCATCGCTAGCGGCAGCGACAGCAGAGAGAAGGTTTCAAATGTGACCGACTCGGACCCGCAGCCGGTGCAGAGTAGTGTCGACTTATGCAGCCCGTGAAACAGTTGCGTCACTATCGAGCTGTTGTACCGCTGGAAGTCGCACCACGCCGCCTCGCCTGCCTTGATGTTCGGGAGGCCTTCCGCCGGCGGTCGGGGAGGCAGTTCTCCAGTCGTAGTCACAGCATTCAAGTCGTCGTGCAGCCAACTAAGTAGCAGGATTATAAATTCATGCGCGTCTTGCATTTCCATGCCGCCGAAGTCCCTGCAACGAGCACTTACTGCACTGCGAAAGCGGTGAGGTGATATGCATTGAAACTTTTGCGACCAAATTACCTCAAACAGCTGAGAGATTTCCGTCGCCACCTGACCTTGGCTTAGCGGCTGCTTGTTCGTGTTTTCGTAGAGAAACTCGCCTACCATGTATTTCACCAGCGCTTGCGTTTGTGCGAGTACCTGGAGGACGGCGTTCATGTAGCAGGTGTTCCCGAGGTTTTCTAGGCCAGCAGAACCGGCCGGGAGAGACGCTGCTTTGGTTTTCGAAATGAGGAACGAAGTAGTCCTAGAGATTCCTTCGTCTCCGGCTACTGACTGGCGAGGCGCTGATGCTGCTGGGGCGGTCTTCGGCTGGCCAGCCGAGACTGTTCCAAAGCTGGTCAGTTCAGAGGCTGGTGACATCAAAGAATATCGTGGGCACATTGCAATGGACTTCGCATCCGCACTTGAGCATGTGTGATGAGGCTTGCTGGTGTGACTTGGCGACACATAAGCGCCTGTTGGGATGTGGTGCTCTTGCGTGGCGGCGTCAAACGCTGACTGTGGCGCAGAGCCTCGTACTGCAGCTGCGTTGCCTCGGATGATGGCCATTGAGACACGCTGCCAGAGCCAAGCCGTCTCACGCCTTTCGCCGGTCGCAGCTACCAACAAGCGACCTAGCTCGTTGATGAAGCTAGTGGAGGCTGGGCCAACAACTCCAGATGTCTCGACTGCAACTGGCGTAAATAGGTACTGCGTTGAGATGCTGAGGTATCGGTACTTCTTACGCGTCTCTGCAGCCAGGGCAGCCGATCCCGGCTTTAGTGCTGAGTTAACGACTGTGCTTTCGGCGTATGTGTCCGTGCAGGTCGCGTCCCAAGCTAAGCACTTTCCGCATTTAAATGGAAAGGTCGTTAGCCCGTCCGGTCGTCTCCCATCTCCACGGTCCGGTCCTACCTGCTCAAGAACTGAAGGGATGCCGGCGACGGAGAGGCTACGCTTTACCAGGTCATTGAGCTGGGCGTGGCGCGGGAAACGGCCTGCACTTTTCTTGCACGATAGAGCATGGTGCCGAAGGTGACCAACAATACCACCACAGAGGCGGCAGGCATGTTGCTCGCAAACGGGAGCACCGAGTCGGAGAGCGATAGCAATTCTGACTGTTTCGGGGTCCAAATGTAAGCCTAGACTGGGCACGGGAACCGCATGCAGCCATGCACCGGTATGTGGCTCGCTCGAGGCTAAAAGACGCGCCCTGTGAACTTGGTTTGCGTCTTTCAATAAGCTTTCCTTGATGATGGTACACGCCGCGTCATCCCATGTTCTCTGTCGTCCGGCCACCGATGGATCAGGAAGAGTGGTGAGGCCGGTTCGGGGGAGGAAAGAGGCATGGGCTGGTTCGAGAGCTGCGGGCGCAGCGCCATTCGCCACGATGGTAGGTATAACTGATGCGATGAGGGATGTAGCTGCTGTCAAAGAAGCGATGTAGCATGGTAAGGCCAGGGTCTCCACCGAGCGAACCCCCAGACCCCCATGCCTAGTGGGCAGAGACGCTTGTATCCAAGCCCTGTCTCCGATTGCGACGTTGGAAACGTCACTGAGTGTCAATCTGACAAGTTCATCGATTGCCTGTAATCCTGTTAGGTTCTTGTACATCGGACTGGACCGTAGAAGGTACTGTAGTCTAGGAGCTGACGTATGGTGAGAAAGGAAGAAGATGGCAGTATGTGCGTCCAGCATGCGGATTCTGTCGCACAACATCTTCACCGTAGAAGCGGCTATTTCTTGACAAATAGAAATACTACCCTCGCCTAGAGGAGAGCCGAGTAGAGTTAGTTGGTCCATTGCAGTTTCCATAATTCCTGGAAGGGCATCTTGTATTTTCCTCACAGTGCAGGAATGAAGCTCTTCCGAGAGCTTCCCAAGGACTGCGACCTCACATTTTGAGCTATTTAGTTCCAGGCCGAGCTCTTGAAGCATGCATTGAATTTTCTCCAGATCCCTTGCGACAATATCGGCGGGTCCAGCTATTGTCGCGTCATCCAAATATCATACGTTTAATGGTGATTTCATTGAGCCAGTGTTGCCAGGTCGAGTGATGCTAATACCTCCAGAAAATGTTGTAAAAACCTCTAGAAACCTCTGTTCCATTGCCGCTGATTATAGAGCATATATACCTCCATACCTACCTCCGTATCACAAACCGTGGCGCCGTTTCAAAGCACGCTGCCATCCGCTGCTAGCGCGTGATGACATCATCAAGCCCATTGCTCCAACACTACCAAGGGGTCTGTTCCAGTCGCACTTCCTAACACCTCTAAACTCCTCCAAGATTGCTTCCCTGTTCCAGTGTCAGCTCTAGCCCCTACAAATCAAAGGAGGGCCCTGCTCCAACCTCCTCTATCTTGCCCTTGGAGGAGTTTAGATGTGTTAGGAAGTGCGACTGGAACAGACCCAAAGTGTGACGTCAGCGCTCTGGCAGCAGCTGGCAGCGGGCTTAGAAACACCCGGTTGTATCCCCAATCAATATAATTCACTCATCCTTCGCATGCCTTCGCATTTGTCCACATAGCTTGGTGGACTTGGTGCCCACCGTGGGCACCAGGTTTACATAGCCTTGGTGCCCACGTTTACATAGCCTTGGTGCCCACGGTATATCGAGAACTTTTATCTGCAGCCGGCGGCCAGAGCCTCAATAGTGAACAAGCCAAAAGTAGGCTTATCGTTTCCATCAATCTGAAAAAAGTGTGTTCAAGCATGCAATACTTAAAGATAATAACATGAAATTAAGTACCTAAATAGTTCTCAAGTGACCTTGATGCTAATTGTCTTTTCTCGAATTTTTCAGATTACCTCTAGAAAACCCTCTAGAATCCGGCATTTTTCAAAAACCTCCAGGAGCCCCGAAACGCTCCCCTAAAACCTCTAGATCTGGAGGTTTACCTCTAGACCTGGCAACACTGCATTGAGCGAGCGCACTCGTCTACGGCTAGGGAAAAGGCGACTGGGCCCAGCGGGTCCCCTTGCTGTATACCGGAGCAGGACCGGATGGAGTGGCTTCCGATGAAGGGAGGAGTCGGGGCGCTGTACGCCTGAAAGGCGAGTCGGTATATTTCAGGACATCGCAAGAGGATACTTTTTAACATCCGGTCCCTCCTAACGGAGTTGAAGGCATTTTTAACATCAACTTTTACCAGAACCGATGGCAATGAGGTGCCAGCCATTGATGAAATAAATTCGCGGGTGGCGTGTTAATAAATTATAAGTCGTGTCTGCGTCCGTCAGCCTTATGTGTCTTAAAGCGCCGGAACGGCGCCGCGTAGCGACGTGAAATTTAGTGGGCACAAACTTTGGGTGGGGCGGACCATCGTATCAAAAGATGGGCGCAATCGGACCACGGGTGCGGCGTCAGCGCGTGAATCTCTGCCCCAGGCTGGCCGAGGCCGGCGCCGAGCAGAGAGCACGCGCTCTAAGCTCATTTTCTTCGCTTGCCAAACTGAGTGAAAACGATGAGAGCCAGCTCGGGAAGTCAACTCTGTGGATATCAAGAATACAGGTTTTCAATTAGGATCAGGTATATGCGCAGGTACAGGTATTTGGTACAGGTTTCACCGGTAAATAAAATAAATTCATTACCGAGCGAGCGAAGCGAGCTAAGTGCGAGCGAAGCGAGCAAACTATCGGATCTGCAGCGCTCCTCGAAAAGGCATTCGGAAGGGCGGAAAGGCGGAAAGGCATTCTTAGAATGCCTTTCCGAAAAGATGAGAGTTGCTTAATTCACTGATGAGATAAATTGACCATTGTCTAGCTTGGCTGCAAGCTGCCGACGTAAAATGCAGTATGACAAAAAATAATGCCCTTTGTCGATATTAAATGCCCCTGCCGTTGTTCAATGACCCTGGTCAAGTATCAACAGATGCTAGTCTAAATCCGTGAAAAGTGTCGAAATACGTGCTCCAGTGTCGAGTTGTTGGAGTGCCTGTCGAGATAAGGTGCCCGCTGCCGTAATTGAATGAACGGATGCCGATTCGGATTGAAAAAGGTGTAGACAATGGTCAATTTATCTCATCAGTGAATTAAGCAACTCTTACCTTTTCGGAAAGGCATTTTAAGAATGTTCGTTAAAATGTTCCACGGTACTGTAAAGAGACACTCAATATGAGCGCTTGGTTGCTAAGTAACCACATCTTTTTCAATCCGAATCGGCAACCGTTCATTGGAATACGGCAACGGGCACCTAATTTCGTCAGTCGCTTTCGTCCCTAACATCACCCGCTTCCGGCACGCAAGCTGACCTCATGCTAGGTCATCATCCTTGTGTCATTCTGTGACAATGTGGAAGCACTGGCGAATCCAAAGGGCGACGGGGGTCATTCGGGGCAACGCTCCTGGCGAATCCAAAGGTTGACGGGGGTCATTCGGGGCCTCGCTCCTTTCAACGTATCTAAAGTTGACAATGTTTATAGCCGTATTTCTTGCATGAAAAACAAAGATATTGATTTTTTCATTTGTGTCGATCTGTCGACACATTGTGAGTGGTGCTGACCGCCAGCGCGGATGGTTCAGGTCTGCCGAGATGGACATGGGCGTGTCACCGTAGAGCGGCAACAATGCTTGCAGGACGGCGGTGTGGTCAGCCATTGGTCAACTGCATCTCTGGACGAAAAAAGAGTGCCGTCGGGAAAGGTGGAAACGCGACGGGCTGACCCTTCGATCGCTTTTGCTGCTTATCCATACCGGAACAATTTATACCAGCGCGGGGTCAGCCGCCGCAGCTCACCGGTCACTGGTGGACACCCCAATGTTTCCTCCGCATGATTATCTCATCTTACGACTCTGACATGGTTTGCAAGCCTACTCACCCACCATCCACAGAAAAAAAAACGTTTATACCTTAAAACCACGGCCTAGGCGTATTTTGAGTTCCATATATCCTAGGAAAGTCTCACAAAAGTAAAAATGCTATAGATTCAAGTGATTAGCATTACAAA